TTGCCGGCGCGCTGCTGCCGCTATGTGCGGGCAGTGCGGTCACGACCGGCCCTTGTCGGCCGTCCGACGATCTCTCCCGACCGTCTTAACATGAAACAACCTGAATTACCCTGACATGACCAAACTGCTGAATACACTCAAAAATCATGAATTTGCTCAATATGCTAAGGTGACCGGTGGCGTGCGCACCGTGCGCCGCCTACGGCGTTAAGCCGATTCTCAACCAAACTTTAATTTTCTTCGACAACTAACACATAACTGAACATGAAATAATATTTACTGATCAAATCAACATGAATTGCTCGAAGGATCATCATCTAACATGACCATGCACATGGACGGCCCGTGGCATGCGCTACGTGCGCAACCCACGTCCCTTTGGCCAACTCAACGATTAAACATGAAAAACTCTTCGACCAACATACGTTAACTGAACATGAAATGACTTAAAACGATCAATTTGACAAGCATTTCTCAAGAGTGGTCGGATAAAATCGAACATGCCCGACGTGATTTAACTCGCACGGCCGATAATAACTTGAGACTAATTCATGAGCTTGACTTGAACATAACTGATTTAACATGATTCTAATAACATCAAGAGAATGTAAACCGAGGTTACCTCTTCGAACGCTCGGCTAAAACTACACCAACACTCGATAGCTCGGATGATGCACCTACTTGCGGTGTCTCTTGCGCGTGCGGTGTCTCTTGCGCGTACTTGCGATTAGCTCTCCGCGTGCACACTCTTACTAAGGGGAAACTCTCACTTTCTCTCTATGATTAGTACTTAATTAGGAATATAAATTAAGTATAGAAGCAAAATTTCTCCCCACACATGATATATATACATGGCCGAACGGTGAAGAGGTGGAGAAATAATTTTGTCCAATAATCTTGCACCATTTGTTGAGAATTAAGACTTGATGTGCTTAATCACCTCTCAAGTAAATTAGTCATCACTTAGTTGATTAAGAGGACACCTCATACTTAAGGATGAAACATTCTCCCCATGAACATGCACTAAAATGCCCACGACATTAATAAGAATTTTGCACAAATTCCTCAAAATGCTACGGCATTAATTTAGTAACATGATTAATTATGAATTAATCACAATCTTATGGTTAACTATTTAACTAAGCATGATACTTAATTCCCAAAATTATTCTGAACGTAAACGTGACTTCGAAAATAATTCCGGATAATCTCGACTGAAATAATTAATTCTGAAAAATAATAATCGACAATATTATTATATCGGAACTAGACACATGATTAATATTAATAACATGACGGGATATTACAATCCTCTCTCCTTAAAAATTTTCGTCCTCGGAAATACAGAACAATACTTAATATGCATGCAAGCTGAGAAATATATACATCAAAACTGAAAATCGGGAAAACGAGCGCGAATATCAGCCTCCTGCTCCCAAGTGGCTCCGTGGCGATCCCACTGAATACGAACGAGGGGGACATCTCACTTCCGGAGCCGACGAACCTGACGGTCCAGTACAGCTACCGGTCGCTCCTCGTAAGATAAATCTGGTTGAATCTGAATATCAGTATGGGGAATGACATGATCGGGATCGAACACGTACTTACGCAACATAGATGCATGAAAAACATTATGAATACTGGATAGCTAGGGAGGTAAGGCTAATCGATATGCAACTTCGCCCACTCGCTCAAGAACTTCGAACAGGCCAATGAATCGAGGGTGCAGCTTCCCTCTCTTCCCGAATCGAAAAACTCCGCTAAATGGACGAACATTGAAAAAAGCTGGCTCGCCAACCTCAAACTGAATATCTCGTCGATGCTGATCGGCTGAGGATTTCTATCGACTCTGAGCTGTCTTGAGTCTCTGCCGAATCAACTCGACCTGATCTGCGGTTTCCTCGATCATGTTCGGACCAAGTACTCAACGCTCGCCGATGTCGTCCCAATAAAAAGGGGAACGACACTTACGACCGTAAAGTGCTTCGTAAGGAGCCATCTGAATAGAAGAATGATAATTGTTGTTGTACGCAAACTCAACGTAGGGCAACAACGACTCCCACTTAGCACCCCTGTCAATAACAAAAGCTCGTAACATATCCTCCAATGTCTGAATGGTCCACTCGGATTGACTATCACTCTCTGGATGATAGGCTGAACTGAACTCTAGCTTTGTAACCATCGCCTCGTGTAAACTCTGCCAGAATCTACTGGTGAGTCTTGGATCTTTGTTTGACACGATAGTAACAGGCACTCTGTGGAGTCGAACGATTCCACGGGTATAAATCTCAGCCAACTTATCCAAAGACATTTTCATCGAGACTAGTAAGAAATGAGAGACCTTAGTCAATTTGTCGACCACGACCCAAATCGCATCGTGATGTTCAGATGACCTCGGTAACCCCGTGACAAAGTTCATCTGACTTCCTCCCACTTCCACTTTGGAATCAGTAGTGGTTGCAGGAGGCCTATCGGACTCTTATGTTCGTCTTTGACTTGCTGACAGGTAAAACACCTCCTCACGAAGTCGGCTACATCCTTCTTCATCCCTCGCCACCAGAACAACCCTTTCAGGTCATGATACATCTTTGTGCTTCTGGGATGGGCTAGATAGGGTGCGGTATGAGGCTCCGTCAATATCTTCTTCCGCAACGCCTCAACTTTCGGTACCATAATCCTACCACGGAACTCCAAGGCTCCGTCGGTGCCTTGCTGAAAACCCTCAACGCCTCCAGCGCGGACTTTGGCATCCATGCACGAACAAACTCGTTAGAAGCCAGCTCCCGCCGGATTCTCTCTCTCAGTGTCGGCTGAATCTGCATGGAACTGACACTCCCCGTAATGGTTGTGGGAAGTGCATCAACTACCTGAATCTGCATCCGGGCAAACTCCTGAATCAAACGCTCTGCTGAGTAACGACGTACGTCAAGTCACCCCTCACCTTACGACTTAGGGCATCAGCAACGACGTTCGCCTTTCCCGGATGGTACTGGATCGAACAATCATAATCCTTGACGAGCTCTAGCCAACGGCGCTGTCTCATGTTGAGCTCCTTCTGAGTAAAAATGTATTGCAAGCTCTTATGATCTGTGAAAATCTCGCATCGACCGCCGTATAGATAATGTCGCCAAATCTTGAGGGCATGAACAACTGCAGCTAACTCCATGTCGTGCATCGGATAGTTCTGTTCGTGTGGCTTGAGCTAGCGTGAAGCATAAGCAACGACCTAGCCATCCTGCATGAGTATGCATCCCCAAACCCTGTTTCGAAGCATCACTGAAAATTGGTGAAACTCCGAGAAGTATCGGGAATAGTCAACATCGGTGCTAAATTTGACCTCTTCTTGAGCTCCTGAAAACTTGACTCACATCAGTCAGTCCACTCGAACTTCACAGACTTCTTCGTCAGCTGGGATAAAGGGAGGGCAATCTTGGAAAAGCCCTCGATGAATCTGCGGTAATAACCAGCTATACATTGAAAACTACAAACCTCAGACAGACTCTTCGGTGTCGACCAGTTCTGAACAGCTGAAACCTTGGAAGGATCTACCTCGATACCTGCCTGAGTAATGACCTGGCCAAGAAAGGCTACTCGCTAAAGCCAGAATTTGCATTTGGAGAATTTTGTATATAACGTTTCTCGTCTGAGGGTTTCGAGAACAACCCTCAGATGCTCCTCGTGCTCCTTCTGGCTCTTTGAGTAGATAAGGATATCGTAAATGAAAACAATAACGAAATGATCGAGGTAGGGATGGAAAATACGATTCATCAGGTCCATGAAAACTGCTGGAGCATTACTGAGGCCAAATGGCATGACGACGAACTTGTAATGGCATAACGAGTAAGAAAAGCAGTCTTAGCAATATCTGACTCCTTAATTTTCAGCTGGTGGTAGCCTGATCGTAAATCAATCTTGGAGAAAACACAGGCTCCCCTCAGCTGATCACATAAATCGTCGATCTTGGGAAGCAGATACTTATTCTTGATCGTCAACCGGTTAATATCCTGGTAGTCGATACACATGTGCATGGAACCGTCCTTCTTCTTGACAAAGAGAACGGGTGCTCCCCATGGTCAAATGCTCGGTCAGATGAAACTGAGTCGCAATAACTTCTGGATTTGTGGCTTAAGCTCCTGCAATTCCTTAGGCGCCATACGATACAGGGGATTTGGATACTGGGCCGACTCCTGGAATAAGATCGATAGAGAACTCTACCTGCCGGTTAGGCGGTCCTCCTGGAAGTTCGTCTGGAAACACGTCCACAAACTCACAAACAACGGGAATGTCATAAGGTGATCGTGCTTTCTGAGAATCATAGACAAGGCTCACCAGATAACCCTGACAGTTGCCTCGTCGCAGCATCTTGGTGGCTTTTGCCATGGAAACGACATGAGGTAAAGAACGATTCTTGGTGCCAAAGAAGATAATCAAATCGTCTCTCAGAAGATAAAGAGTAATCTCCCGGTCATGACATTGAATGTCTGCATGATAATAGGATAGCCAATCCATACTGAGAATGAGGTCAAAATCCCTCATCTCGAGAACATAAGTGTCGGTAGACAATATACGACCACCGATGGAAAGGCTGAGATCTGAAGCCTTAGCAGTAGTCACTATCTTTCGTCCTGAGGCTAAACTCACCTTGAGAGGATCAACAACGGTAATGGCATGTACTCTGATGGCATCAAGACATCGTCGTGATATAAAAGAATGTGTCGCTCGAGTATCAAGTAGGGCTAAAACAGGAACATCATTAAGTATAAGCATCCCTGACATGGTACCTGGCTGCTGCTCTGCCTCGGCCTGATCAACTGCATAGACTCGGGCCTGCTATCTGCCTCTCTGCTGCTGCTGCTGGGGCGGCCTCTGAGCCTGCTGATGGGGCTGCTGCTGCTATGGCTGCTGAGGCTGCTGTGGAGGCTACTGTGCCTTCTTCGGACAGCGGTTAGCAAAATGTCCAGGCTCGTGACAGTAGTAACATATATCCTGGCTAAAGCGACACTCTCCACGGTGAAGTCGTCTGCAAGTAGGGCACGGTGGAACCTGCTGTTGCCTCTGGCGGGTCCTCCTGTCGGTCTGGGCACCCTTCCCCTTTCTCTTCTTCTCCTTTGACGGTTGGGCAGCTGGTGGAGTTGGTAGAGCTGTGGATGACTGGGCAGGGGCGGATGGTTGGGAACGGTCGCGGCTTGCCTCCCTCCGTATGCTGGCGTCCACTTCCTGGCAATTGAAATAGCACGAGCATATGTCTGGGTCCCGTGACCTACAATGTTGTGACGGACTGCTGGGTAAAGCCCGTCGATGAAGCGTTGTGCCCTCTGTGCCTCCGTACGCACCAAGTTCGGAATAAAAGCTGCAAGTCTAGTAAACTCCCTCTCGTACTTATCAACAGAACGAGTACCCTGTTTGAGCGACAGAAACTGACGCTCCATCTCGGCTCGGTAGTACGTGGGATAGTACTTCTCGCGGATTAACTCCTTGAACCTATCCCAAGTACAACCTTCTTTCTTACCGGGACGCATGCTCCAGTAGGCATTCCAACAGAGTCGAGCATCACCGGTTAACTGAAGCTGTGCGCATATAACGCGATAGCGATCTGGATAATCCATGACCTCAAAAATCAATTCAAGGCCCTGAATCCACTCGTCCACAATACGGGGAACTTCCTGATCGAAGAATTTCTCAGGATGATAGTCGCGGAACTGTTCGACTACTATGGCCTGGGGAATAACCGGGCGATCGAGGTCCCTACGGGGCGGCATCTGATCATTGAAAAAGTTTAACATTTTTGAACACATGAAAAATACTCTAACTGATTACTTAAGCACACAGATCTCTTGACGAGTTGCCAAACATGGCTGGAAAATACTGACACTAATCCTGAGGAAATCTAGAGTTATATCTGAGTACACTGAACTATAAGTTTTGAACCTGATTTGAGCATCTTAACTAAGTCATGCTTAATAATTTTTTGAGCATAGACAAAGTAATTTGTTATAACTTAAGAACATAAATCAGCACTTACATGTAGTCGGCGAGGCGTGAGCGTGACAGGTTTAGGTTTTTGAAAATTTTCTGACTCGTAAAAACTTTCAGAGACGCAAAAACGTGCTCTAATACCAATTTTGACACCCCGCTATTTCATGAAAAACAGAGCGCGCTTTTCGCAAAATTTTTCTAAATGAAACATTTATTTTGCGAAATACTGATTCGGAGTGCTACCGTAAAATCTGACTTTAACTGAAAACTGTTATTTTAGTTTAATAAAAAACGGTTATAAACATAATAACCGATTGGTGTCGGATCCAAAAATTGGTTTGGTAAACTGAAACAGTAGCGGAAATCATAGTGTAGCCAAAACATAATTACACATATATACAAATATCCTGAACCGGTCGCCAGCTCACTCCTCGGCTCCGACCCTGTGACCTGAAAAACATGAATAATGTGGGGGCGTGAACACTAATCCACTGTGCTCCGCAAAAACTCATACTAAAGTAAACAGGGAAAAAAATAATAATATCATGATCCTGGCATATATAACTGAACTGATACTGAACTGAAACTGAAACTGATACCGGTACTGAATAATCATGATCTGATATTGATCTCGTTATAATTATCACCTGACTGATAACTGAACATCTGCCTGCATAAAAATGTCGGACACCATGTGCACACTCTAGTGGGCAGACTAAGGCGACTAGAACCAAGAATGGACCGACGACCATTCCGAGCGGATACTGATAATACATACCTCAAATATGGTAGCGTAATTATAATCAATGTAATACCCAGTCTGAGTCCCCACCTGATCCTTTGAAAATGAAAGGCAGTGCTGATATCTTACGCCTGATCAAACTGAAATATAATATAAACAATTACTAAGTACTATGCTCAGACTGATAAAAATAGCTGTTTAATTTGTTAAGATGCTCTACTGGACTTGACATGATATTTGGATTTAATCGGTATAACTGAAACCGGTTAAGTACGGATCTGAACTGATATAATTTATTGAACTAAACTGGACCCAAAATTTTACTGAAAATGAGACTTGAACATGAACCGGGATTAGAAACATGAAAATATGACCTGAACCGGTCCAACCGGTCTGAACCGGTCTAAACCGGTCTGGCCGGACAGCCGGCC